AAAAATGAGAGAGTGGGTGAAATGGGGGTTGTAATATCTGATTGTAGAGGCTTATGACAATTGAAGAATGCCCTTCTTACATTTACATGCTAAAAGCACCGTCTCAAGACAATATTTGGCCTCTATTGATTATAATTAGTGTGTATAAGGTTGGAGTAAAAAAATTCGTCCTTGGGATACCTGAAAATGGAAGGATGACAGTATATCTTGTCTATTGAATGCACTAGAACAAGTTGGAGGAAGTTTCAAGTTCAAAGCCAGAACCTTCTTCGGCAAGACAAATGGAAACGTTAAATGTGTGAGGGCTTCATCAAACTCTATTACATTTTTAGTGGAAAATTGAGTAACGACTGATGTTTCAAAACCTGTCTCAAGGACCCATAGTCCCAAACTAGTTACTTGTAGAGTTTGAGCAAGTAGAGCAGTGAATATATATATATATATATATATATAGGAAAACACTACAAACTTTTATAAGTGAAGTTCTACACCGTTCAAATTTCATCATACAGTCACAGATGTCTGATAGTGTTTGAATTTTAATATATTTTTTACAAATAATAATGATCTAAAATTTTATCGGTGTGTGCGCCTTAGTGAGATGCAGATGAACAAAATATAAAAACAAATAATTTGAATGATAAAAATTATGCAAAATACCCCTATAAAGTTTCATCGATAATTTCATCACTTTATTTTATATCTATTATTTTTTTACTATTTTATTTTGGTGCGACTTGGTCATATGTATGCACGCCCCAAATTTTAGATAAATTTGATTAGTACAATAATTATAAAAATTCAAATATTATCGGACAATTGTGACCATGTGATAAACTTTGAACGGTGATGAGGTGTAGGTGAAGTACCGTAGAACTTCACCTATAGGCGTTTTGTAGATGCTTCCATATATATATAAGAGGAAATGACAAAAGAATACCAAAAAATACAAAATAAAATATTCAAAATAAAAAACTTCAATTCACATTATACGAGGTATAAATCAAAATTAAAATCTAAGAGTTTAAATAGAAAAGGCATTTGAAAAGAGAATAGTGGAAAAAAATTGCCTAAAAAAATGGATCTTCAAGGTTAGTTTTTTTTATTTTTCTAAGTTTGTTAAGGCTTTTGCAGGAAAATGCAATATTAGTATTTTTTGGGACAAATTTGGATGAATTTGGAGAGACAATTAGAGACAAATCAAAAATTTTTTTATTTCAGTTTAAAAAAAAAAAACCCAGAAATTTAGAAACTCGATTTTTTTTTTACTTTGCTTGTTGACAGGGATTTACTAGTTGGCAAAGAAAACCAAAAATTTGGCTGATAAAAACCAAAATCAAAATTTCTTCAACCTAAGCATGTTTCTACCCTAAAATTAATGCTCAAAAGGAAAAAAAACAGTTTCTTTCTCTTGGTTGTTCACGAAGGGTGAGAAACGATTAGAAGGCCAACCCAGCGGAAAATAACAAGAATAACCCATTATGTTCAAATCGAGTCGATTTTTCTGAAGGAAAATTGTTTCATATGCGCTTGACAGCATTTCAACAATATGTGGTTTAGAGGTATAAAGCATCCATCTTTAATATGGATGCAAATAAGTGGTTCATCTAAAAACAATTGTAACTAGCAGCCCAAATGTTTTTTTCATATAATTATTATATCTAGTTTTCAATTTTTTTTCATTTAAAGATTGTATATTCTCTAAAAAATAGGATCAAATTATATTTAAAAAATATATTTATTGCCAAGCCTGCATTTCTATAATATGTGGGCTGGTCGCATAAAGACCGTGTCAGAAGGGTGCGGTTTGTATATAGCCTAGGCTCTAAACAATCAAATTAAAGCGTGACTTCAAATAGAATCAAGAAATGTGGTTTAAATACCGAAAAATATTTGTGATAGCCTTAATATATATATATATATATATATATATATTATCTTTATTTATAAAGTTTAAAGCTTCAAAAATAGTGTAGATCGACAGATCTATGAAAACTTGAGAATCTTGAAAATTGATGGTCTAAAAATGTGTTACAAAATACACTATTTCCAAAACTTGAAATCTATTTTTTTCTCATGTCCATGCATCTTGATGTCGAGATGATCAATTTGAAGATATTTGGACATCAAAACAATCTCTTCTAGTGAAATTTTTGAGGTAGGCTCAAATTTGATTGTTTAGAGCTTCGGCTCTATGTAAACTTTTCCCTTTTTTGAAAGGGAAAAGTTTATATAAGGTTGCAACCTTAAAATGTAGAACTTCCTTTAATACTAGTACTTAACTACTAAGACTAATAACCTCGAGAGAGGCATAGGAATGGGAAGTCGTATTAAGCACCCCAGGAGTTTCAATATGACTTCATATTCGACAGCTAGCCCTCCAAAAGAGTTCCCTCTTTCCCTCCCTCGGCAAGAAGTGTTCGAGTATTCGCCTAGTTATTTTAATGTTGAAAAACCCTGTGATTGATAATTTAAATATCGAGATGTATGACTATGAAAAATAAAAAGATTTTGGATATCAGAAATAGTACAACTTACAACATATTATCTACACCGTCCATTTTCAAAATTTCCATATGTTTATAGATCTACTTGATTTTAACCATTTTTGAAATTTAAAATTTCATAATTAGATATAAAAATAGATTTTGAGATAATCCTAAGACAATTTTACTTCAAAATTATATATTATGATAAAATTTGAAGGCGTACCTTAGTTGAGATAAAACTTGATTTTAACCTTACTTAATTGCATGGTGGAATAAAAACTTAAATAAGACATGTGGCCTGAGGTAAAAAGGAGTAGGATGAAAGTGAGAAAGCATGCACCTGCACGTGTGCGTGCACGGGATTTTCACGCGCTTAATCTCCGAATGGCACACTCTTGAGTGTGGTTCTCGTGCACCCTTTTTCTCTTTACCATGGCTCTAAGAAAAAACATGTTTCTTTATCTTTTCTTTTTTTTTCCAAGTAATTTTGAACAAGTGGCCGCCTCTTTATTGATGGACAGCTGAGAAGCTGTTAGCACACTATTAGAAAACTTAAGTGCTATCCTACTGTACTATAGCTTCCTAAACCAGTGTTCAAAACCATTACTCGGGTCGCGAACTCGGCCCATGCTTGAGCCAAGGCCAATTACTCTAGCAGCAAAAAATATTAAAAAAATAAAAATAAAACATAAAAATTCAAAAAGTTAGGGAAATATACTTAAAGTAAAAATTCAACAAGCACATCTAAATGTATCGAGCAATAGAATTTGAAGATGAGTTTGTGACCAAGAGTATTCTTGAAATTTTCTTATGAAGGGGAAATGTTTTTGAAGTTCTAATTTTATTTCACAACCAAGAACTACAATTTTTCATAAAATTTGAGGTGATTTTTTTTTTTTTTGGGGTAATTGAGTGGGAATAACCACCCCCTACCTATTTTCATAAGAGGTGACCTTTTTTTTTTTTTTTGGAAAGCTTTCTATGTTCCTCATACAACATAGAAGTTCTATCATCCCGCTTATCCATCCGTCCATTTTTTGAATGGAGGGCTAAGAATGCCCCAATCACAATATCATATCTCTACACAATTTTATTTTTAATTTTTTTTATAAACTATTTTGACAGACGTCCATTCTTCTATTAAACTCGCATTAATGAAAAATATAAATAAAATAAAATAAAATAACCAAAGTACCCTAAAAGTTTCAAGGGGTATTTTGGTCATTATTTTTTATCGAAAAATTATTGTTAATATTTTTTATACGTGCGCTCCAATGAGAAGATAGCACATTCCAAATTTCATATTAAAAAAAAAATGTATTACAAAAACTAAAAATAAACTACTTTGAGATGTTGGATCTAAGATCAAATGGTGAGTGGCTTGATAAAAAATGGATGGCTGGATTATAAGGGGAGCATAGAACTTCTACCTTGTAGGGGAAACATAAAAAACCTTCTTTCTTCTTCTTCTTCTCCGTTTTGGTTTGTTTTTTTTTTTTTTTTTTGAGTAATTTTCAATGGGATCGACGAGCTCGTACCTATTTTCTAAAGCATTAGTGATTTTTGAATGGCTAAGCCTAAACTTTAGCTGGAGCACATATTGTACTACCACCACGACCCTAACCCCAATCTCAATCTCGACAACCCCAATCTTGAGACCGTCCAATATTTGAACATTTACATTTTTTAAAACTTAAATAGCAATTTCTTCAGCAGGTAAATTCTCTACAGCCGGATACTGCAGGAGCACGGAATCACTCTAGCAAAACTGAATGGGTTTCCGGCATCTATCAAAGAGCCACAGATTCTTCGAGGGTCCACAACATTGACAAGTGTGCTGTCCTACACCTCAAATTTGCAATATCTTTTAGTTGGCCAATTTCAAGTGTACATTTCTTCAAATTCAATGGACTTGTGTCCTTTAGTTGCCATTCACATTATTGAAAATGACAAAGGTAAACCACTCACGAAATGACTTTGTTTCTTGGCCCATTATCTGGGCTATGCCTTCGGCTCTTCTTATATTCCATTTGAACTCACATTAGAAAATGGGGTATTTGAAAAAGGTTATATACGTTTGACACTTTAAATGGTAGAATTAAGAACACCAAAAACAGTACTAACGAGGGTTGACAACTGATTGGGCCAGCCGTAGTCCCCATAGAACCGTCTTACGCAACCTGGCTAGAACTAGGCTAAAGAGTCACTGACCCTAGCTCTATCAATGCTAGAGTTGGACTGGGCTAGGCCAAAAACAATTAAAAAAAGTAAAAACAAAGAAAAAGAGGGTCGGACGGCCGGTCATGCCCCAAGCACAGCTTGGCCCTACATTAGACTGTGGTTGTGCTCCAGATTTTAGGGCCGGGCCTTATGGTCCAAACAAAGCAAAACCAATAGGCGCTAAATTTGGTATAGATATAAAACTTAGGGGCAATCTGCTTTTATATGATCATATCTTCTTAAGAATAAAAGGAATATTAGTGCATTTTTAATTTGGCGAATAAAATAACTTCCAACATATTTGAAACTTTGCTCGGCTACTGAAGATTCACAATCGAGAGAGTGCAAGAGTCTTTTAATGGCTCTGCTACTCCTCCCTGTCTGCACAGAAACCCTAATTTTTCATAACCCTTTTCCTTCTCACTCTAAGAATCACTGCTTCAGGTCTCCTACAAACCTCTCATGGATTCATGGTAACCGCCATAGAGACAGGAAGGTCACAGGAAAAGCTGCTGACTCTTCATCTTCGCAAGGCACAGTTGCAGATGACTATTATTCTGTTTTAGGATTGGTAATAAGAAAAACCCATCATTTCGATCTTAAAGTTTTTGTCGATTATCGGATAATTGTTGGGCATTTTTAGGATATCGATTTCAACTATTTCAAGGTATCAAATTGATCATGCTGTATCTGATGAGAAGAAAAAAAAAAAAACAGTGAATAAAAACCCATTCGATATGAATTGATATTGTTTTCTAGTGTTATCTGGGTATTGAGTGTTGTTTGTTGTTCTTAAGTACGTATTGTGACTAAACGGAATTGAATTAAGTGCGGTTCATTTCATATTGAGAACCCAAGAAGTTACAGATTTGAAATTGAAATAAAGGATTGAAATAAAGGAATGTTATATAAAGCATTCAACGATCTGTCTTAACATATTCACCCAAAAAAAGATCTGCAACATATCTGTTTTCTGTATTGCTCATTTATTAATACTCATTTTATCAGAAATATACTTCAAATTTACTATGGTGATATCCCATTGTCAGCTGCCCGATGCGACACCCGATCAGATAAAGAAGGCATACTATAATTGCATGAAAGCATGCCATCCAGACTTGAGTGGAAATGAACCTCAGACAACAAACTTTTGTATATTCATCAATGAAGTTTATGAGGTGATTTCTCCTTTTGCAATGGTCTTTCTTTATTAATGCTAGAAACCTATAATCTACATTCTTTAGCTAGCTTTAGGATGCTACTCGTTCTATTGATTTCTCTTTGCAATAGCATCTGATTATATGTTGTTACAATGATACTTACGTGGATCAGCACAAATCAGGTACTCAGTGATCCTGTGCAGCGTATGGTGTATGATGAAATACATGGGTATGCATTGATTGCTATCAATCCATTCTTGGATGACACCAAGCCAAAAGACCATGCATTTGTTGATGAGTTCAGTTGTATAGGTACAAACAACTGGATTTCTTTCTTATCTACATATTTTATTACATATTAAAGTGAGATCTTCTCCTCTCTCTCTCTCTCTCTCTCTCTCTCTCTCTCTCTCTCTCT